CTCACTGGGGGTGGCTCTGGCCTCTGCACCCAGATACAGATCAGCAGGCACTCTTTTTCTCATTCTTGCCTTCTGTGTGGTGCACTTTTAAGATCACAACAGTTTGCCTTTTAGTAGAGCCATAACTCCCAAAACAAATTAAGAAATGCCAGGTCACTCCTCTCCTCTGTACTAGATGGCAAAGGCCTAAAAGCATCCCTTGAATCCTGTCCTTTACTTGTGAGCCTCCATTTACTACCACACTCTGGCAATGAAAGAAGAATTCATTTTCCCTTATTCTCAGAGTCAACAGAACAAGGCTTTTGCAGGAATAGGTGAGCATTGCTAGGCTAATGGCTGGATTAAGATATTTCTATGTTGATTTTGCCTGCCACAAGCCTTTCTCATCTCCTTTATGGTTTAATAACTTCTAGGATCAGGAGAAGAGGTACTGGGAAAATCTTTAAAATATGTACTTAGAACATTGGGAACCTCTGGTTTACAGTAGTAAATGTAAACTATAATAAATGTGATGTATGCCGAAACCGGTTTGGCTCAGTGGTGGAGCGTCTGTCTGCGGACTGAAAGGTCCCAGGTTCGATTCCAGTCAAGGGCATGTACCTTGGTTGCGGGCACATCCCCGGTAGGGGGTGTGCAGGAGGCAGCTAGTCGATGTTTCTCTCTCATCGACATTTCTAGCTCTCTATCTCTCTCCCTTCCTCTCTGTAAAAAAAAAAAAAAAAATCAATAAAAAAAATAAATGTGATGTATTCTCCAGGGGAAAAAAATATTTGGGAGATTATTGGTAGCTTTTTTAGTATCTTTCTCTGTATTTAAATAGGAATAAATAGGAATGAAGTGGACCCTGAAAAAAGTTTTTTAAAAAAAGATATTTTTATTGATTTCTAAGTGGAAAAGAGAGGGAGAAAGAGATAGAAACATCATTGAGGAGAGAGAATCATTGATTGGCTGCCTCCTGTATGCCCCATACTGGGGATCAAGCCTGCAACCCAGGTATATACCCCTGACTGAAATCAAACCCAGGACCCTTCAGTTCAGAGGCTGACTATCTACTGAGCCAAACCAGCTAGGGCTGGCCTTGAAATTTTAAGTGATGGAAATTTGGTGTGTGTATGTATATATATATATATATATAAATTAAAAAAACATTCCCAGGCTCTGATCAGGGTAGCTGAATTATTTAGAGCAAGCATGTCAAACTCAAAGGCTAACACAGGCCAAATAAACAAGGTTTAAGTTTATGTGGGCCGCAAAAAAACAAAAGCTTCAATTTTCATAGAAACATAGGTTTATTTCGATAGAGATGTGCTGAATATAAAATAAATGAGTTAACCGTTAACGTAAAATAAAACATTTTAATAAAAATTAATATTGTTTCTTAAACATTAACTTACCAGACATTGAATAACTGCATAAATCAATAAGCGTAATGCAAATAGACCTATTTTTCTTGTTCTCCAAAGGAGAAATATTTCCTGTTGCATATACCAAACAAGTCAGTACAAGTCTATTGATGTGGCAATCGGCTGCTAAATATTCGCTGCTAGTATTAGTGTAGAGAAATGGTGTGCCTGCACCTAAGGTGCATAAGGAAAATGAATGCAACACGATTATAGTAATCAGTCATTAGTAAATGATGTAGTTCGTTATTAATAATTATGTATAACAGGATATTGTAAAAATTAAGTCACGAAATTTTTATTAAAACATTTCTTGCCCTAACTAGTTTGGCTCAGTGCATAGAGCGTTGGCTGGGGACTCAAGGGTCCCGGGTTCGATTCTGGTCAAAGGCATGTGGGCTCAGTCCAATGTGCAGGAGGCAACCAATCAATGATTCCCTCTCATCATTTTTTTTCCCCCTCTCATCATCGATGTTTCTATCTCTTCATCTCCTTTCCTCTCTGAAATCAATAAAATAAAATAAAATTTTTTTTAAAGTTTGTTACTGTTATATTGACTGGGCTGCAAAAATAGTTGTTGTGGGCTGTGAGTGTGACATGCTGGGTTCAGAGTGTCCTCCTGAGACGCCAAGATTGAGGGTTAGATCCCCAGTCAGGGCACACACAAGAATCAGCCAATGCGCGCATAAGTGAGTGGAATAACATTTATTTTTTCCTCTCTCCATCTGCCCCCTTCCTCTCTAAAATGAATAAATAAAAATTAAGATACAAAGACATATCTGCAGGTGAGGATTTAATAAAGAGATTGTGTTCTTTTTAAAATATTTTTTTTATTGATTTCAGAGAGGAATGAAGAGGGAGAGAAAGGGAGAAACAGCAGTGATGAGAGAGAATCATTGATAAGCTGCCTCCTGCATGCCCTTCACTGGAGATCAAGCCTACAACCCAGGCATGTGCCCTTGACCAGGATAAAATCTGGGACTTTTCAGTCTGCAGGCTGACGCTCTATCCACTGAACAAAACCAGCAAGGGCAAGAAGTTGTGTTCTTGAAGAATAAAAATAAATAAAAATAAGGAATATTAAAATGGCAGTTAAATTCATATATATCAATAATTACTTTAAATGCAAAAGGATTAAATGAATAACAAGTCTCTTACATATGTCTAAAACAGACTCACTTCAAATGGAAAGAGACACAGACAAAAAAAAGGGGGGGGGGCGGAAAAATATTTCATGGAAACAAGAAAGGCTGGGGTAGCAATATTTATACCTGTCAAAATAGCTTACAACAAAAGACCCAGCAATTCTACTTCTTGGTATTTATCTGAAGAAACCCAAAACACCAAATCTAAAAGGCATGCACCTATACGTTCATTGCAGCATTATTTAAAATAGCCAAAATATGGAAGCAATCTAGTTGTTCATCAGTAGATGAATGAATAAAAAGTGGTGCAGCCGAAACCGGTTTGGCTCAGTGGATAGAGCATTGGCCTGCGGACTGAAGGGTCCCAGGTTCAATTCTGGTCAAGGGCATGTGCCTTGGTTGTGGGCACATCCCCAGTTGGGGGTGTACAGGAAGCAGCTGATCGATGTTTCTCTCTCATCGATGTTTCTGACTCTCTGTCCCTTTCCCTTCCTCTCTGTAAAAAATCAATAAAAAATATATATTAAAAAAAGTGGTGCATATATACAATGAAATATAACTCAACTTAAAAAAAAAAAAAAAAAAGACCTAGAATGCATTGGTGCATTGGTGCTGAGTGAGATAAGTCAGGCAGAGAAAGACAAATGCCATATGATTTCACTTACCTGTGGAACCTAAAAAGAAACAAAATAAATGAACAAGCGGACTCAGTGATACAGAAAACATTTGAGGGTCGCCAGATTGGTGGGGGGGATGGGTGAAAAAGGTGAAGGGATTAAGAACAAATAGGTAGTTGCAGAATAGTTGCTGGAATGAAAAGTACAGCATAAGGAAATATGATCAATAATATTGTAATAACTATGTATGATTTCAGATGTGTACTAGTTTTATCAGGGTGATCACTTAGAAGATTATATAAATACCTTATCACCGGGTTATATACCTAAAATGCATATGTTGTATGTCAACTGTAATTGAAAAATAAAAATTATTAAAAAAAAAAGAAAAGCTATGAAAAAAGATTAAAAAATTGAGATGGTTGAGAACTATGATTTAGAAGAGAGAAGCATTAGGGTTTTTATCTAGATAATGATCTAAGAGTTGAAGTGTTTAAGTTTGAGAAGTAGATGAACTTATAAAGGGAAATCATTCATTTTATATCACTATAACATGTGCTTGTTTTGTTTTTACTTCCCCCTTTTGTCTAGTTCTTGAGTACAAAAACAATGTGGCAATTAAAATAACTAAGATAAGACTAAAATGGCACTCTTTCACAGTATTTAATCAAAGTAATCTAGAAGAGTTCATATGGAATATTTTTAAAATGGAAATCTCATCAGAACTGCCCCTTTCACCCCCCACAAAAACAAATAAAAATTCAAGCAAATTTACTTCTGATATTAGCCATTTTGAGTTAGGAGATTAATTTATCATTACATTATAGAAGGAGCAAAGACTGTTCTTTTAAATTATATATATGTGTGTGTGTGTGTGTGTGTGTGTGTGTGTGTGTGTAGTGTGTGTATATATATACACACACTTTGAATAATTATAAAGGAATTGCTTATTAAAATGCATTTCATTTTAAAAATTGAGCTATCAGCTGTTGAAGTGTGCATACTTTTTTTTTTTTTTTTTTGGATACTCTGTATATGCAGATTTTTTTTTACCCCCACCCAAGGATATATTTATTGTTTTGAGAAAGAGAGAGAAAAATCCATGTGAGAGAGAAACATCAATCAGTTGCCTCCCATACATGCCCCAACTGGGGATTAAACTCAACCTAGTACCCCTGACTAGGAATCAATTCTGCAACCTTTTGCTGCATGGGACAATGCTCCAACCAGCTGAGCCACTTGGCCATAGCTATGTAGGTTTTTTTTTAATAGATGCACACAAATACACACACACACAAAATGATCTACTTTGCTTTCTGCCTCGTTGGAGTTGGTACCAGTGCTACCATCCATGTTAAAGCATGGGCCTCATCCCCTCTTGCTGTGCTTTCGATAATTCTCTTCTGACAAGCTTTATTTCCTGCCTTCTTGGAACCCACTCCAGAACTAAACCATTCTGTGTGTACAGACATACAACCCCCACTGCCTTCTCCGCTACAGGAAATGGAGAGGCAATAATTCTAGGGGTTGATTGCTATTAACAACTGAGTTTTCATTAACTCAGTTGACTTGCCATAAAGTTGTTATCTTTGTTTTTCTGTTGTGATAAAAAGTGCATTAATTAAATTTTGTTATATCAATTGTCTACTATCACTAAGAAATTGCAAACCATAAGTTATTAAGTTTTAACCAAGATTTCAAAAATTTGTATGTTCATATAAAGTAGATTTGTGTCCAAAGCAATTTTGGTGAATGTCAGGGACTTTTAACTTTTGAATCTTCCAGGTTTTCCCAAGAAAGTCTCTTTTTCAGTTTTCCTTTTTCTTTTTTCTTTGTAGTGGACGTTCGGGAGCAATAAAAATAAGAAGAAAGGAAAGACCAGAAAAATAGAGAAGAAAGGAACCATGAAGAAACAGGCCAATAAAACTGCTTCTTCAGGCAGTTCGGACAAAGACAGTTCAGCTGAGAGCTCAGCCCCTGAGGAAGGTGAGCCAAGTAGCCCAGAGCCTGGCAGTGAACTCCCATTCTTACCAGGTTGAGGATGCAATCAGAAATGGAGGGAAACGTGCATGCATTACAGCAGCTCATAACATTTCAGTGGTCATGGATCCTTTGAGAAGCTAAATGAAGAAAGAAAAATACATGCAGTTCTGAAGATTAATGAGTTCAGTGAAACCCATCCAGGAAACCCATGAGGAGTATCTGCATTAGAGTGTCACCCTGACCTTCCCTTCCCCTCTTTCTTATGCATGCATGGTCTTCTCCTGAGGAGGAAAATCTTTGAACCGATACAAAATTGAATAAAAGAATTTATTAGGAATTCACTAATCAATTTAATAACTCACTAAAACATTGATTATTTTTAGTGTCAACTATTATAATAAATGTAGAAGAGATGAATCACCATTCTTTTTTAATATATTTTATTGATTTTGTACAGAAAGGAAGGGAGAGAGATAGAGAGTTAGAAACATCGATGAGAGATAAACATCGATCAGCCGCCTCTTGCATACCCCCTACTGGGGATATGCCCGCAACCAAGGTACATGCCCTTGACTGGAATCGAACCCAGGACCTTTCAGTCCCTAAGCCGACGCTCTATCCATCGAGCCAAACCGGTCTTGACTGAATCACCATTTTTCAGTCATCAGTAATAATTGATTTACTCAAGAGTTATCAATGACTGTTAAATCACTGGGTGAGAATTTGTTGGAAGTAAGATATTTACAGTCTCTAAGCATCTCCCCGTTATACTTAATAGCTACAAAGAAGAAAAAAGTGCCTTTACAATGGAGAAATCTATGGGATACTACCTTACCCAAAAATCTAAATATCACTAGTAATTGGACAAATAGATATCAGGTGCTTCCTGATGTGATACTTTGAAAAGGACACAATTACTTAGAGAGTAGTATTGCCAAAAAGTCATAACCTGAATAGTGCTTGATGAAACCAACCAACTGAAATTGTGGACATTTGATAACTGTGGCTGTTTAAGTTTGAATTAATTAAAACTTAAAATTTTAGTCTCTCATTTGCATTAGCCACATTTTAATCGCTCGGTAGCCACATAAAGAATATTTATTACTTCATAAAATTTTGTTAGATAATATTTGGACTTATACTCCTCAAAACTTCAATGGCATGAAAGACCAAAAAAAAAGGTTGTTGCAGATTAAAGGTACTAGAGAGTCATAGCAACCAGATGCAATGTGTGATCCTAGATTGAGTCCCTCTTTGGCTGAAAAGTGGCTATAAAGGACTATGTTAGAACAACTGGTGAAATTTGAATAGGGCGTGTGTTAGATGAAGGTATTCCATCAATGTTAAATTTCCTGAATTTGATAATTGTATAATTGATTATGTAAAAGACTGTCTTTTAGGAGAAGAGTTTAGGTATAAAGGGTTACAATCTCTGCAATTTACTTTCAGTTCAGCAAAATGAATAATAAAAATGTATACATTATTTTAAATAAGTAGACAAAAAGTAAATTGGCAATGTTGATAATGTGTAAACCTAAGTTAAAAGATATATAGCCCAGTGGGTGTGGCTCAGTGGTTGAACACAATCTATGAACTAGGATATCATGGTTTAATTCCCAGTCAGGGCAGTGTCTGGACTGCAGCCTGATCCCTAGTGGGTGGCGTAAAGAAAACAGTTAATCAATGATTCTCTCTCATCGATGCTTTATTTCTCCCTCCCCCTCCCTTCTTCTCAATATATTTTATTTTAAAAAATGATGGGCCAGGCCAGTGTTGCTCAGTGATTGAGCATCAGCCTATGAACCAGGAGGTCATGGTTCAGTTCCTGGTCAGGGCACATGTCCAGATTGCAGCTTCGTCCCCAGTCTGTGGCCTGCAGGAGGCAGCCAACCAATGATTCTAATCATTGATGTTTTATCTCTCTCCCTCCCTCCCTCTCTCTGAAATCAATAAAAATATTAAAGGGGAGGAAAAAGGATGTGCAGGAACTCTGGCCAGTGTTGCTAACTGGTTAGGGTGTCAACCAATTCATTGAAGGTCTTGGGTTCAATTCCTAGTCAAGGGCACATACCTGGATTAGGGTTCACTCCCTGACCTGGTCCAGGCATGTGTGGAAGCAGCCACTAACTATGGATGAGATACATCCATTAATATGGATATATCTCACATCAGTGTTTGTTTTCTCTCCCTCCCTCCCTTCCACCTTCTCTGAAAATCAGTGGAAAAAATATCCTCAGTTAAGGATTATTTAAAAAAAAAAAAATGTATCAGAGTCACCTATTCTTCTACCTTTTTTCTTTAGATCTGCAATTTTTTCAAAAGTAAAAAGTTTAAAAAGAACCTGCTGGTTTATATTCCAGCCTAATTTTTCCTAACCTATGCTTACATTTGCCAAAGGCAGACCCAAGGGAGCAGAGATGGCCATATGCCATTTTACCCAGGAGAGCCAAGGAGTACTGATAATTAACACTGTCACCTCGGCCTGACTTCTCTTGTAGAGCCTAATCTTCTGTTCACCCTTTGTGGCAGGTGAAGTGTCGGATTCTGACAGCAACAGCTCTTCCTCTAGTTCAGACTCTGACTCCTCTTCTGAAGATGAAGAGTTCCATGATGGCTACGGGGAAGACCTCATGGGGGATGAGGAGGACAGGGCTCGTCTGGAGCAAATGACAGAGAAGGAAAGAGAGCAAGAACTCTTCAACCGAATTGAGAAGAGGGAGGTGTTGAAAAGAAGGTAAGGTTATAATTCCTTAATGAGTAAATAAAATAATAAAATAATTTTTCCAAAATTCACATTTGAAGCCCTATCTCTATTGGATTTAATTAAGACTTGAGATTTATAATATTATTATTATTATTATTATTATTATTATTGCTATTGTTGTTGTTAATCCTCTCCAAGGATATTTTTACATTGGTTTTTAGATAATGGGAAGGAGGGGAAGAGATAGAGAGAGAAACATCAGTGGGAGAAATAACACATCGATTGGTTGCCTCCCACATTGGGCCCAACCAGGGTCACCAGGGCCGGGGATTAAGCCTGTAACTGAGGTATGTGCCCTTGACCAAAAATCGAACCTGGGACTCTTCAGTCCATAAGCTGATGCTCTGTCCACTGAACCAAACTGGCTAGGGTGGGATTTATCATTATTTACAAATTCGGTATCTCACTATCTTTCCATCATGGCTTTTGTATGTTTTGCTTTTTGCTTTCCCAGTTGGGTGTTTTTTGCTTCTTTGTATTTTAAATCTTTGACTTGATTCTTGCCATCCTCTAGTCTGTTGTTGGATCTCTGTATGTTATTCTTTATTTCAGTCAGTGTATGCTTAATTTCTAGTTTGTCATTTTTTTAAATATATATTTTATTGATTTTTCTTATAGAGAGGAAGGGAGAGAGATAGAGAGCTAGAAACATCGATGAGAGAGAAACATCAACCAGCTGCCTCTTGCACACTCCCTATTGGGGATGTGCCCACAACCAATGTACATGCCCTTGACCTGAATCGAACCTGGGACCTTTCAGTCCGCAGACCGACGCTCTACCGCTGAGCCAAACTGGTTTCGGCTAGTTGGTCATTTTTCATATTCTCAAGGATCTTGTTAAATTCATTGGCGGTTTTTAGAAAATTCTTGAAAAAACTTATAACCGTGGTTTTGACTCTATCTCCTCCATTGCTTTCATTTGTAACCTGTTTCTTTGTCTCCGCATTTTGGCTGCTTCCCTGTGTTGATAGAGTGGCTTTGTGTGGTAGGTGTCCTATAGGGCCCAGTGGTTCAGCTTCCCCGGTTACCTGAAGTGGACACTTTTGGTGCACCCCTTTATGGGCTGTGTGCATAGTCTTGTTGTAGTTAAGCCTTGATTGATGTTAGTATCACTGGGAGGAATTGACCTGCAGGCCAATTGGCTGTGAGGATCAGCTGTGTCTATGATGGGAGAACTTCTGTGCTTGAGACACCCATCTGAGACAAGACTTGCTTCATTGGGGCTTTGGTGCTCACGGAGTCTGCCCCCTAAGTGTGTCCCTTATGGATCTGAGGGGTTGTATCTGAATGGTCCCGCTCTTACCACTGGGTACACTGGCTCTTGGATCTCCAAGGAGGTGCTAATTTAGCCTCTGCCTGAGGCCACCCAACAGGAGCTACAGATAGATCTGCAGATTCCTCTTTTTTCTTTGGGATTTGGAGGTGCCCAGATGAGGCCCAGGTGTGAAGCAATGAAAGCTGCTGTTGGGCCTTAAACCTTCTTTTGGATGTTCTGGTCTCACTGACTCAACTGCAGTTTCTTAGGTAATTTTAGATTTCAAAGGACCGGGCCATTCATATGCAAAAGCCTCTGCACACAGTGTGGGTGGGACGGGGTCTCAGGGCTGAGCAAACAGCAATGGCTTCCCATCAGCCCTGCCCTAAAAGGCTCCTGGGCCTCAGTATCCCATAGTAATCACTGCAAGTACTTCTGAGAGAAAGTGCCCTCAAGTTCCACCCAATGCCAGACAGTCCAGTTTCTCCCCATATGAGTCTGGGTCCCCAGAGTCTCACCCAGAATTGTAGTTCAGAGCAATTAAGAGCTTGTATCTCCCAAATGGAAAAGACAGTCACATCTTAAATTGCCAGCCCTCAGTTACCAGCCCTTTGTGAACATACGTTCCTCATACCTCTGAACTTTACTTCTGCAGCTCCTTTTAGTCTCATGTGCTTTTCTTTTTCCTTCTAGTTGTAGAATTTCCACTCGGCCAACCTTCCTGTGGTTCTGGATGATGTCTGTTTTGTCTTTTAGTTGTAGTTTTGAAGTTGTTTTGTGAGGCAGCAAGTCCAGGTATTTATCTATGCCACCATCTTGGTTTCCCTCCAGTGTATACTGATTTTTGTTTATCTGTTGATCTGTTGGTTGATATTTGGGTTGTTTTCACTGTTTTGCTATTGTGAATAGTGCTAATATGAACATTCATGTACACATATTTGAATACCTATTTTCAGTCCTTTTAGGGGTATACCTAGGAGTAAAATTGCTGGGTCATACAGTAATTTTATGTTTCCTTTTGAGAAACCACCAAACTGTTTTTTCCACAACCTCTGCACTATTTTACATTCACACCAGCAATGTTGGTTCCAATTGTGCCCATTCTTGCCAATACTAGTTATTTTCCCTTTTTTTCTTAATAGCTATTCTGATGGATGTGATATATTTCATGGTGATTTCGATTTGTACTTTTCTGATCTGCATAAATTTTACTTCTTTTCCCATATGTATCCCTTCATTTCTTTTTTTTTTGTCTGTGTGTCTTTTACTACCATGATGATTAGAAATAGTGAAAACATACATCCTTGTCTTGTTCTAATCTTAGGGGAAAGGATTCAGTCTTTCACCATTGTGTATTAAGTTAGCTGTGGGGTTTTTTATAGATGCTTTCTATCAGTTTGAGAAAGTTCCCTTCTGTTTCTAGTTTGTTGAGAGTTTTTACCAAGACAGGGTATTGGGTTTTGTTAAATGCTTGTTCTGTGTTTGTTGGGATAATTATGTAGTTTTTGTGCTTTATTCTACTACCCGTGTTTCCCCGAAAATAGACATCCTCCGAAAATAAGACCTATTTACAGGTTTCCTTCTGAGTGAAATATAAGGCAGCCCCCAAAAATAAGGCCCCCCTAGGCTAAATATGAGAGACTTGGTCCACTGATTCTGAAAGAAATTCACCAGGAAATTCAGGAATTGGATTGTTATGATGATGTTTCAGAAGATGATGACATGATTGTCATTGAATAAATGAGTAAATTCTTGATACTGTAGGAGTCATAGTTTGTCTGTTTTGTGTTGACAACTACTGTATTACTGTACCGTATACAGGTAATAAATTTCCTTTATTTTCATTTAACAATAAATGTGTACCATATTCTTCTTCATGGAAAAATAAGATATCCCCTGAAAATAAGACCTAGCGCATCCTTGGGAGCAAAAATTAATATATGACACTGTCTTATTTTTGGGGAAACAGGGTAATATGGTATATTACAATGATTGATTTTCTTATGTTGAATCAACCTTGCATTTCTGCTTGGTCATGGTGTATCATCCTTTTTATAAGTTTACTAAGAGGCCCAGTGCGCAAAATTGCGTAAGACCCCAGACCCGCCGTGCCACTGCGGGCACGCGACCCCAGACCTGCGGTGCAGCCATAGAAGTGGGACCCCAGACCTGCCATACTTCCATGGGCATGGGACCCCAGCCCCACCACAAGACCCATCAATGCACCTCCTGGTGACTGTTGTTATGGTCTTACAGCCACAGGCCTTTTATAATGTGGATGGATTCAATTTGCTGCTGTTTTGTACCAGCATTCTTAAGAGATATGGTCTATACTTTTTTCCCTGTGATGTCATTGTCTGGCTTTGGTATCAGAATAGTATTAGCCTAGGCTTTCCCAGGCCTTTCCCTTTTCCTTCCCCTCCTGCCCCCCAAGCACATTAGCTTCCTCACTTCCGAACTCCAAGGGTCCTTCCTTTACCTCCATAACCTGTTTCCTAAGCCTGTCTTTCTATGAATTACTTCTTCTATCTCTATAATTTACCAAACAAAATGTTCTCTTATCAGAAAAAAAAAAAAAAAAATACTAGCCTCATAGAATGAATTGAGAAGTGTTTTCTTCTCTTTTATTTTTTGGAAGAGTTTGTGAAGAATTGGTATTACCACCCTAACCGGTTTGGCTCAGTGGATAGAGCATTGGCCTGTGGACTGAAGGGTTCCAGCTTCGATTCTGGTCAAGGGCATGTACCTTGGTTGCGAACACATCCCAGTAGGGGCATGCAGGAGGCAGCTGATTGATGTTTCTCATTGGTGTTTCTAACTCTATCCCACTCCCTTCCTCTCTGTAAAAAATCAATAAAATACATAAAAAAAAAAAAAAAAAGGATTGGTATTACTGCCCTTGCACGTTTGGCTCAGTGACCCTCGGACTGAAGGGTCCTGGGTTCGATTCCAATCATGGGCATGTACCTTGGTTGTAGGTTCAATTCCCAGTAAGAGGCATGGAGGAGGCAGCCGATCCATGTGTTTCTCTCTCATTGATGTTTCTATCTCTCTCTCTAAAATTAGTAAAAACATTTTTTTTTTTAATGTGATAGTGACTCTGTGGCTTCACTCTATTTCTGATGGAACACCATTGGAATTTATTTTAAAAATTTGTTATTTTCTTCTGTTATATGAAGGTCAAGGAGGATTTGTGTGTTACTGACAGGATACAGTAATATCCTGAATATTTTTGTCCTCTTAAGCCTATTCCAACTTAATGTTTTAAGTATTTTTCTGTATTTATATTCAATATTTTTAAATATATATTTTATTCAGAGAAAAAGAAATAGGGAGAGGGAAATGGAAACATTCATGATGAGAGGAAATCATTGATTGGCTGCCTCCTGTATGCACCCTAGTGGGGATCGAACCCACAACACATGCATGTACCATGACCAGGAATCGATCCATACCAGCCAGGCTATAGTCAATGATTTTTATGGTACTTGTACATTGGAATTTCTTAAAGGAAGCAGAAAACGTTTATTAACTCCCCCCCCCTTACTTCCTTTCTCGTATCTATAATAATAGGAATCAGTCATTACAAATATTTAATTGCCCCACTTAAAAAAACAATAAATATCTTTAATCAGGTTTGAAATTAAGAAAAAACTAAAAACAGCCAAAAAGAAAGAAAAGAAAGAAAAAAAGAAAAGGCAAGAAGAAGAGCAAGAAAAGAAAAAGCTGACACAGATTCAAGAATCTCAGGTAGGAGATTCAGTGGCCTCATTATCTGAAGAATAAAGTCTATTTTGAATGCATGTATTTATATAAAAGATGTGTTTATATTACTCAGCTTAAGTCAGTCAGTGCATAACTATTACATACTCTAGATTAGGGGTGTCGAACTCAATCAGAGAAGGGGCCAAAATCTAAAATCCAGCCTAAATCGAGGGCCGAATGGTTTACTGAACAGTCATAAACTGTCATTGTGATGGAAACGCAGCGGAGTGCAGTGATGACAGCGCGGTGCGGGCCACATTGCAAGGCCTGGCGGGACGGATTTGGCCCGCGGGCCTTGTGTTTGACACATGTGCTCTAGATATATCATTTCACCACTAGCTGCAATCCTTAATTCAAGTCTGCATTTAAAAAGCAGCTTAAATGATGTGTGAATAGCCTCTAAGAAAAAGTTGTTAAATTTCCTGTTCAGGGTAGCCCAATTGGTTAGTTTGTTTACTCAGTCAGGTGTACGTCATCCTGACTTGGTAGTAAAAGTAGCTGGGAAAATTAGTCATCTCTGCATTTGTCACAGAATGCTTTGTTGATAATATCAGCAAATATTGGCTATGATCTAGGATGTCCTTCTTGAAAGTGCTTATTCCTGGTCTAATGAACAAAATAACCTGAGAAACAAAATAGGTCCAGAGGTATGGATGCATGGAACAGACTGACAGATCTCAGAGGGGAGGGGTGGGGAGGACAGGAAGAGAAAAACCGAAGAATTTACATACACACCTGGCATAGCCCATGGACACAGACAAACGGTGTGGTGAAGGCCTGAGGGAGGGCAGGGGCTGGGAAGAGATGGGAAAAGGGAGGGCAGGATGGGGGACATCTGTAATACTGTCAACAATAAAAATATATATGTATATAGATTTTGCATATATTTTAAAAGTGTTTATTCCTGTAATTCTTAGGCTTTCTGTTTATTAGGCAGGGAAGATGAGAGCTGACTTTACTGCTCTATCCTCTTTGTCCACAAGAGGATGCTCTCCCCCTTTAAACAAATTTCAGTTTCTATAGTAATACAGAGTCACAGTGAAGAACTAAATAATTAATTGTAGGTATAGACAGTCATAACCAGTCGATAAAAAGAACCACCCTACATGTTTCCCTTTGCAGGTAACATCCCACAACAAGGAACGGCGTTCCAAACGGGATGAGAAACTAGATAAAAAATCTCAAGCCATGGAGGAGCTAAAAGCAGAGAGAGAAAAACGGAAGAACAGAACAGGTAAGTAGGGAAAATATGCTACTTGGTGTCTTTGATCATATGATTTGACTTCCTAGTGCTCATTTTTATTTTTCCCCTTGTTTAGCTCTTTATTATGAGAAATTCCAAAAACATACAGGATATAGTGTAATGAACCTCCATGAACCCATCATCATCCAACCTCACCAGTCAACTCATGGGCAACCATTTTGTTTGTTTGTTTTGTTTTGTTTTGGAGGCATTACAATAAAAATGTTTATTTAGGTTTGATCAGTACAGGTAAGATATACTGGAATCACAGAGCAATATGCATTGACAGGGTACAACAGTTCATAAAAAGAGTAACTTTGCATACAAATGTCTTAAATATCATTCAGTCACCCAAAGAGAAAATGCACAGATGTATAGTGGAAAAAACTGTGTCTAACACTGAAACCACTATGGGACTCCATCAACAAGTCCAACTTTTACTGATAAAACTGCTGTGCTGGGCAAACTTAGTAATCAACCCACATCTACTCTAATAGGTCTGAATGGTGCATAAGAATAGTAACAGCAACTCATGGCCAATCTTGTTAAAGCTATACTTCCTCTTCCATTGGGTTATTTTATTTATTTATTTATTTATTTATTTTTAAATATATTTTATTGATTTTGTATAGAGAGGAAGGGAGAGAGATAGAGAGCTAGAAACATCAATGAGAGTCATCGATCAGCTGCCTCTTGCACACCCCCTACTGGGGATCTGCCCGCAACCAAGGTACATGCCCTTGACCGGAATCGAACCTGGGACCCTTCAGTCCCCAAGCCGACGCTCCATCCATTGAGCCAAACCAGTCCCGGCTATTTTATTTACTTTTTTTTTAATGTATTTTATCATCAGGTTATTTTAAAGTAAATCCCAGTAAATAATTATATTTCAACCATAATTATTTCAATATATTGAAAAGATAAGGGCTCTTATTTTAAATATAACTATAATGCCAATATATATATTGCAACGAATCTCTTACCATTTTATTCCTTTATACAAATATATAGTCAGTCTTTAAATTTTTTTAGTTATTCTATAAAATATACTAATTTGATCATTTTAATCAGTATATAAATAAAATCCACTCATTGTTATTTGTTAATATATTCCTAAGTCACTTAGTCTATAGGTTTTCCTGTCCATCTCTCTTTTTTTTTTTTTCTTTTTCATTTTTTCCTTTTTTTTTTTCTCTTTATCTCCATCTCTCTTTTTTAACTAGCCCCTTTCAGTTTATTTGTTGAAGAAACTGCGTTCATTTATCTTACAGTTTTCCCAGATACTGACTATATCATATTAGTGGTGTTAAATGTGTTTTTCTAGTCCCTTGAATTTCCTGTAATTTGTAGTTAGAGTTAAAGAATTGGACAGATTTGGATTTGTTCTGTTTCTATTTTGTTTTGTTTTGTTTGGAAGACTAAGTTTTAGGTAGTGATATATTATACCACGAGACCCAGAGTATCTGCTTGTCTCATTTTGTGATACTACCAGCTGTCACTTAACTATTACCACAATAATGTGAAATAACAAACTTCCCCAAACTCAGATAAACAATCATTTGTTCTTACTCAAGCATCTGCAATTCAGGTAGGGGTTGCTTGATATACAGGTTTAGATGGGATTGTCCCCAAGTTTCATGATAGAACCAGGTCTGTTTCTCCTATCTCTCTCCCGCCTCAGACCAGTATAACTAGGACACATTCTTCTCATGGTAATGGCAGAAGTATAATAGGGGCAAGCAGAAACATGAGATGCCTCTTATGGCCTAGACTTGGAATGAGTAGTGTCAGATGTGTGCACATTCCATTGGCGAAAGCAAGTCACATTACCAAACCCAACATGAATGGCTGAGAGGAACTTCCCACCTAATCACATGGCAAAGAGCCTGGGTATAAGAAGGGTGAAGATTGGTAATAGTAATATGTTCTATCCCAACAGCCATTGTAATCATTACCTAGAGTATTTAACTTATTATGAGTTGCAAAAGGGTAATGTTATGACCTATTATTCTTTCTTCATTTATTATCTTGGGTTTACTTCTATAAAGAGAAGCTTCTCATCAGCTATTTAGTTACCACTAGGTACTATTTTTTATAGGAAAGGCAGAATAAATGCTTGATTTTTTTGTTTTTGTTTTGCTTTACTGGGTTTTAAAAGAAAGCTAGTTCCTTGACAACTTTGGTGCCCAGTGAGGTTTGTTTCTTTATTTTGAATATCATTATGAACTCATGAATTTTAATATACTTCATACATTTCAATCCATTGCAGTAATTATTATTGAGATTCATATTATTTCATCTTCAACCAGTTGTAGCCTAAGTCCTTCTGATATGATGCTCCAATAGTCTTTAATAGTTTTCTTGCTTTCTGAATTTGGAATTAGCCATTTCTCTAAGGAACTCTGGTTCCTTTTTCATGAGAAACTATATGTGGACACCACAGTCTAGATCCATCAAGTGTCCAAACTATAATACTAGGTTGGCTGTTATGTCTAAGACTTTTCAATGTATGGAGCTTGATTTTTTTTTAAAATAATTTATTTTTCAATTATAGTTGGTGTACACTATTCTATTAGTTTTAGGCATACAACCCAGTGATAAGACATTTATATAACTTATAAAGTGATTACCTCAATAAATCTAGTGCACATCGATATGATACATAGTTTTTGCTATATCATTGACTATATTACCTGTGCTATACTTTTTGCCCTGTGGACTGAAAGGTCTCGGGTTTGATTCCTGTCAAAGGTTGCAGGCACATCCCCAGTAGGGGGTGTGCAAGAGGCAGCTGATTGATGATTCTCTCTCGATATTTCTAACTATCCCTCCCTCTTCTTCTCTGTAAAAAATCAATAAAGTATATTTTTAAAAAAGAGAGAGAGAGAGAGATAGAAACATCAATAATGAGAAAGAATCATTGTTCGGCTGCCTCCTACACACCCCACACTGGAGCCTGCAACCCAGACATGTGCCCTGACCGGGAATCGAACTGTGACCTCCTGGTTCATAGGCTGATGCTCAACCACTGGGCTGCGTCATCCAGGTTCCACTTATTAATACATTTATTGGTTGATAGTTGTATGTGCCCTGATTAGGGATCAAACCCACAACCATGTCATATTGAGACAATGTTCTAACCACCTGAGCTAGAACAAGAGTGGAATTGTTGGAACGTATGGTAAATTTGTGTTTGACCTTTTGAGAAACTGCCAGAATGTTTTCCAAAGTGTCTTTACCATTTTGTATTCCCAGCAGCAATGTATGAGGGTATCACTCTTTACATATTCTCACCAACACTTGTTGTCTTTTTGATAGTAGCCATTCTAGTGAATATGAAATGTGATTGTTATTTGCATTTCTCTAATGATTAGTGATGTTGAGCATCTTTTCATGTGCTTATGACCATTTGGATAACTTCTTTGATGAAGTTATATCTATTATACCTTTTGCTTGTTTTTGATCAACTTTGTTGTTGTTGACTTGTATTTTTTTTTTAATTTTTTAAATCGATCTTTATTGTTCATATTATTACAAAAGTTCCTCATTTTTCCCCCCTCCACCAGGTTCCCACCCCACCCTCTGCCCTTTCCCCACCCCCCATAGTCCTCATCCATAGGTGCACAGTTTACTGTTCAGTCTCTTCCTGCATCCACCACTCCCCTTCCCCCCCCCAGAATTGTCAGTCCACTACTCTCCCATATCTCTGATTCTATTATAATCAACAGATAATATTGTTCATCAGATTTTTTAATTTCCTTTTTTTTTAATTAATAAACTTTTATATTTTTAAGAATAAATTTTAAAATCTAATAATTTTAAACCTTGTTTTTTTCTGCCCTGGGAACTGAGAAGCAAACTTGTTTACATGTAAACTTGCCCTTGGGCTATTGTAGCCATTCAAATGTAAATGAACAAATGGTTTAAAGATACTGTATTTTTCGGACCATAAGATGCACTGGACCATAAGACGCACCAGTTTTTAGAGAAGGGAAATGAAGAAAAAAAGATTCTGAAACAAATAGTGTCCTAAAATATTTTATGTGCATTAAAACCCATCAACACAGTCATAAACACATGTAATCAACCCTGTAAAGTAAACAGCAGCATTTAGAACCATTTTAGAGCCGAGCAAGCACACAGAGACCACACAGAGCCGGGCAAGTAAAAAAACTTTTTTTTTAAAGTATATGTGTAGGCTATATTTGGACCATAAGACGCAGGGACTTTTTCCCCCCACTTCTGGGGGGGAAAAAGTGCGTCTTATGGTCCGAAAAATACGGTAGCTGCTGGCTGGAATTGGATTACCTGTTCTGGGTGAGAAGGGCATGTCATCCCCTTTCTCCATTAAAATTAAGGTGTTAGCTTTAAAACCTTTTTGTCAAGAGACCTTAAATTTCCAGAACTTTAAATTTTTCAGGTAGCAAATCAATTACTTAGCATTTTCTCATATCAATAATACCTCTGCATTCCCAAGGATACACTTCACACAAAAGATACATCCAAATAGATCAACCAACCTCATCCAGACCCCACATAAGGCACTCACACACAGATCAAAACCCCAGCGCTACAACAACTCAACATTTCCAGATCTAAGCCTTCAACATTTGATTCAGCAGACCCTCAAGTTCCCCCAAAAGTTTCCAGCCATGTCTGAGAAGCAGCCCTGGGGCATGGGCAGGCGAGGAGGGAGGAGCGAACTATTCCGGCCCAGCTGCTCTGGGCCTGGCCGCTGTTGCTCCCGGCCCGGCTTCTTCAGGCCCTGGCTGCTCCGGGCCCGGCTGCCGCCGCTCTGGGCCTGGCTGCTCTGGGCCTGGCCACTGCCGATCCAACATTCTGTCTTTTTTTTTTTTTTTTAACTTATTTATGTTGCAGTGTTGGCTGATGAGTTGAGTTCTGTCTTAATCTTCGATTTTTCAACATCTTTATATTCTTTCTTAAGTAATTTTACTATCTTTTTGCTATAACTTGACTTCTTCACATTGAAA